GAAAGATCTATCCTTGGTGTACATCTGGATGTTGTTTTTATTATCTGGTTCGAGGTATCAGTGGCGATATTTTGAGTTGAAAAGTATACGGTAAAACCTTGACCAAAATAAAGACCAACTTCAAAAATTGCTGAAATATTTACGTTTGAATGAAATACAATATTTGAACTTGCCTGTCCTTCTTTGATAACTATATTTTACAGAATTAAAGCAAAGAGTTGAATTGCGTATGAATTACCAGCTCTAAAGGGCTATTTCCGGTCCAGGTCAAATTACGTTGGAAATCATGTCDCTCGCCGGGAAAACCCAAATGTCGACTTATCTCAAAAAATATTTTTCCAATTTAACTTAAAAAACCTTTTTTATATTATTAGGTCCACCCAACTTACATTCTAGTAAAGTTTGAGCGATTTTGATTTTTCGGCTATTTCCAGCCATAGTCGATTTTTACGGACGACCTCTCTTAAACTTGCCGCCAAAAATGATGCCTTTTCATCAGTATTCCAGCCATTTATTTCTGCAATTATATCAAATTGGACTTTAAAAGCTTTCCATGGTGTTGAACCATCATGTAAGGGTGGCATTTGCACAGGCTTTAAACTACTTCTAGAGGGTTTCCTTTCCGGCTCTGAAACTTTGAACTTGAGCTTTTCTTCCATACCATTCACCCTATCGAGTGCGTCATTCACTTGATTTAATTTAATGTCAATATGATTGAGCAATTGCGTCTGACTATCGTAGTCTTTTCCATGATTATACATAAATTGTTCAACCTTTCTCAGGCATCCTAAGGCCTGGCTTAGGCCCCCCGCGAGGGTTTGCTGCGACGAATTTGAAATTCAAGATGGCGGCCGGTTTGTTGACGCGTGTTGAACGTTCTTTCGTGCATAAACTGTTCATAGAAAGCTTGTTTTGATATCAGTGAGGTTGAATGTCTTTTGAATTCATGTAAATATTCAAGAATGGCAAGGTTGGAAGCAGATGTAACTCTACAAGTTCGTGAAATCTCTGATTTTTTTTTGTGTTCGAAGCAATACTTCAGGTGAGTACTCGTATGATAAAGCGATAATTTGTTAACATTTTTGGTACGTAAAGAGGGTTTCTTGTCCAAACAAATTCTTTTTGAGACATAAGTTTTTAAGTTAAATTAACGCAAAAATAGTTTTTTAATTATTACTTAATAAGCTTACCCACGGTTAATATTTTACAATTCTAATAAGATAATTAGTTATTTACAATTGTTGAGACTTTACGATATTAACAAATAAAAAACTAAAGTTTCATATTATAAAATTATGCTATATACAATATGTCTGTTATATTACACTATATCTGTTGGTTTCCCAATTGAGAAACAATTTAAAAATATTGCAATGAGATTTATTAACTTCATTAACAATACATGAGTGTCCAATTCAATTCTTAATGCAATCTTTGTACTTTTTGTGAGAATCCTTGTATATAACTTTTCAAACGTGATGATACTGTCACTCATGTACTGTTATTTTCCAAGACTTTAAAAGCTGCTGGACAGTTTTCAGTTTTTGTTTGTTTTTCACTAGGTTTTCTCCTGTTAAATCTTTGAGATGCCTGTACATTTTCAGGACTTCAATTTGAACTTTTAGCAGGTGAGTCTCATACTTCTCTATGTGATATCTTGATTTTGGGTTCTGACGGACATTTTCCTTTAATTTATCAAACTTACAAACAGTATCACATGATCCCAGGACTGTTTCAAGGGCTTTTGCTGTTTTTGACGTCAATTGATCTTTGCTCTTTTTACATTTTGGTGCGCCATCAAGGTTATCTTGTTGTGAGTTAGGCCTTTTACAATGTAGATGTTCTGTGGTAATACATGTAGTTGTACTGATATCATCAATATTGTTTCCTTCTTCATCAATTGCCATGTCACCCTCAATATCCTCATTGTTCTCTTGTTCATCTGTCACAATGTACTCTTCAACTTCAACTATTGTTGGCTGTGGATCATCACTTATGTCTTCCAGTTGTTCCTTCTCAATTTCCTGGCTTATTTCCTCATTTGATATACTATCATCTTCAGCATCAGCTTCAACTTCAGCGCAATCGGGTTGTACATCAGGACAACATAACTCTGAGATCTTGAGCTTTCCTTTATCATCTGTCAACAAAGTTGCAGGCATCTTGATCTTCTCATCTTTGCACTTCTCCCAAAATGTTTCCAGCTCTTTCTGCTCTTTGGAAATGGTAGAAGAACGGAAGTGATGCAATCTTGGACCTTGTTCCCTGAAATTTGGTTCGTCCATCCCATCCAGAAATTCAACTCCATCTCCCATATCT